AGCATCCCTAAGTTGCCTCTTTTGTCTAACACCGTGAACACTTGCCCCCTTTGCGTATTCAGGGGTGTATAACGGTCGAACCTCTGGCCCGAATTCCACCCTTTCTCGTCTACCCGCTTACCCTCTCGCCCCCCTTTCTTGTCATCGGGTTGAGGGGGTCGCTGCTCTTGTTTCTTTTCCCTCCTATTGTCCCTTACGAGGAATTCTGCTTGTGCCTCTTCCATGTTCATGTATTTTCCTCCTCTCTCCAATAGTTCATCGAAACTTTGGGCCGATATTTTGGATAAGCAATCCCGAAAGGGTCCCGGTCGTAGCCCACAAGTCAGTCCGCCAACTTTTATCTCTTCTGCGGCGGTGGGCACTTCAACACATGCACGAGTATAACGGGCTATATAGGTTCGTAATGTCTCCTCTTCCCTTTGCTGCAGATATATCAAGGATAAGTACATCTTCTCATGCTTTCTCGCGCTCGCGAACTGGTTGGTGAATAACGAGCTGAAACCTCGAAAATCTTTAATAGTGTCTGGTGCTAGCTGATGGAACCAATCTTGGGCAGCCCCTTTCAATGTGGTCACAAAGGCCCGAAAGCACACCGCGTCGTTGTACCTGTGCAGCACTGCTATGTTCTCGAAGCTCCTTAGATGTCAAGTCGGGTCGGTAGAGCCATCATATGCCATGGTAAGTTCTGAAAACCCCTGCGGCAACTCTGCTCTCAACAGCTCTTCTGCAAATGGGTGGCGTGGATGACACGAGCTTCGACGCCCATTGACCTTCTCTTGAAGCTCGCGCAGCTGCTCCGCCATGCGCTTTAAGACCAAGTCTCTAGGCGGCTGTGATAAAGCCGCTGATGAGAGATCGATTGCTCTGGCTCGTGCCCCCGTCTTCCCACGACTAACTGCTGATCGACTGGTCGAGTTGTTGCTTCTGGACGAGCTATCACCTCCCGCGCCTCGAGTCGATCCTATACCCCTTGAGCTCCGGGTCGAATAACTACTCCCCTAACTGGCGGTGAGACTGACACCATTCTCGCTTCCACCGCAGCTGCTATCATCCTCTCCAACGCGCTAGGTGTGATCTGTATGGGCTGCTCCGGGGTGAGACGTTGGGTGTTTTCTCCGGTCCTCTCCGCCGTCTCCTCATGGAGTTGCGTTTCCTCTCCGCTTGTCCCACGGTGTAATGCGCCCGCGCCCGGCCTTGTTGGCGTCTCCATTACATCCATTTGCACAGGGCTATTTGCAATTGCTCCAGACAGCTCCGGCGGCCGTTGAGTGGCGGGGGCTGGGGTCACCGGCGTGCTTCCGCGCAACACCCATCCCGGTGGTAGCCCCGCCCCAATAGGACGCTTGTGCAACCACGAGTTATCCTCTTCCCTCTGCTCCTGCTCTCTTTCTTGTTCCATCTTCTTCACTTCGTTTTTCCTCCTTAACTTGTTTTCCGATTGCTATATATGAGATATCACCAGATCAACGCCGGTTGAGCTAGAGTGTCCCCACAGACGGCGCCAATTTGATATGGTCCGAGATGAAGGACTCCGGTCTTCCAAGGGGTTCTTCGCGATTGCGACGTAAATGCGTTTAACTCGGTCCGGTTCAAGCTTGAATGTTCGCCGGTACCTACAAATACGCCGGAATTGCTCCGGCGCAAGACCCTCCGACGCCCAAGTCAATATGTCGGAATGGGAAAATATTGTGTGTAATGGATGTAACAGTAATTGTAATAAATGATGTCTTACCTCTCGCTCTGAACTAAGTGTATATATAGCATTTAACTGTACGGATTACCTTCTGGCTCGATGTCAGTGCCTATGGGTCGACTTCCGGGTCTAAGTTCGACCACTTAAATGGGTCAATCCTCGGGTCTACGTTCGATCACTTGAGTGGGTCGATCCTCGGGTCTGTGTTCGACCACTTGAGTGGATCGATGTCCCCTTGGTCCTCGGTCTTTATTCAACCCGTCTTCATCCGACCGATCCATGTTCGACTACTCTACGCTCGACCACTAGGCTCATTTGGTCCCCATCTCATGGGTTTTTATCCGGTTAGACCGAGTTGATATTATAATCCCTATCAACGAGTGAACAGAAGCACCAAAAAATGGAGGCGACTACCCAAATCTGAACGATGGGTAGCCCATCTGGTCCATCCGTGTAAAGGTACGGAGGTGGAGAAGAACATCGTCAGGTTGAAGAATATGCCTTTGGGGGGTGGAGGTCCCGATGTAGGCAAGGAAGTCAGCGGGTCGGTTCCCCTCGTGGAAGATGTGCGTGATCTGATAGCCAATTGACCGAAGAGTGGTTCTAATACGCATGAATGGATGTTGAATCTGCCACGTGCCCTGATGATCAGAGGTCAAAAGTGTGATGATAGCGACAACGTCCAACTCAATCCAAACGTGAGAGGAGATCGAGGCAGCAATCTGAAGACCGATCTGAAGCGCCTGAACCTCCGCGTCATAACTCGTGGAGGCCCGAATAGGAGCATGAAAAGTGGTAATAAGAGCACCGCTATGATCCCTAATCAGGCCCCCACCTCTGGCCGCTTCTGTAAGTCGGTCAAAGGATCCATCAGTGTTTAGCTTAACCCAAGGTGGTTTGGGTCTCAGCCAAACAACAGCTCTGGGGCATGGATGCTGGACAGACGGCGGTCGAGGTAGTACAAAGCGCTGAGGCGGCGAGCAGCCTGTCCAGTCTCTAAGGGTGAGTCTGCCCAGAGCGGTGAGGAGAAAAAGATGTCGGTTAACCTGCAAAATAATAAGGGAACACAAAAAAGTAATATCCCTATGCTTCGCATTAGATAGGCTTTCTCTTTTCATCATAGGTATGTATAAAACACTGATTGGATATGTAATTTCTCTTTGTTCTTAATATAACCACTTTTTTCCACCTCTCATCTGAATATTTGTTAGATCTTGTTTATGAATGCAGGCACATCATAACATTTGTGTGTATCCTGAGATCTTATCATTTTTGTGTATCCCGAGCTCTTAACACTTTGGAAAAAAATATATCCCGAGCTCTTAACACTTGAAAGAAAATGTGTCCCGATATCTTAACACTTTAAGTCTCGAGCCACTCATCTCGAGAAGTTGTGTTAACTTGTTACGTCACCAGGCATCTGAGCTGAGGAGCTTGAAATCCTGTCCCCTGACGTTCTTCAAACACGTCCTTGGGAATCTGAGCTATTTAGCTTGAATTACTTCCCTTGACGTGCTTCAATTACGCCCATGAGAATCCGAGCTATTTAGCATGACATCCTACCCCATGACGTTCTTAAATTATGTCCCTAGCCATTCGATCTATTTAGACTTGACTTTCTCCCTCTTGAAGTTCTTCAATTATGTCCCTAACGTTACAGAACTTGCATAAATAGACTTGACACTTCTACCAAACTTGTTAGGTTGAAAATATGCTTTATTGATAATCAGAACTTGTCTTGAAAAATAACCCCATAAACAACAGCAATAAAAGATAATAAGCTGGCCGCTTGGCTATTTCTTGAGATGCGCAACATTCCATGGCCTAGGTAGGAGTATTCCTTAAGAGTCCCTCAGCTTGTAATCACCCCCCGCGAAGACCATTTTGAGCACGTATGGCCCTTCTCAATTAGTTTCGAGTTTCTCGACATGCTTAAGGGAGTCCACTTGGCACCACACCAGGTCTCCCACCTGGAATCTTCGACCTCGAACCATCTTGTCGTGCGCCACTCGCATTCTTTATTTATATGCATCCATCTTGATTTTCTAGTTCACTCAAAAAAGAATAATCGGGAGTTTGTCCATTATATCTACTGCTTCTCTCTACAGTCTGACATTCTTTTTCTCTAGAGAAGTGATGTAGTGCCCCATTCATTTTAGATGAGTTAGCGTATTTTAGGTTTTTGCCTCGTTTATATTTTAGGTACTTAATCTCAACAAAAATCCTTGTTTTAGCTCAGGCGGATTATTTTTAGATATCCTCGTCTTAATTATCTTTAGTGTTGATCGATTTCGTAGGCATTATCGTCTACTTGTGTTATTTCTGAATCACGAGCCTCCGTTTAAGTTATTTCGATTGATTGGATGACTCCGTCGAATTAATCTAATTAGTCGATTTATCTATTGTTCTCGTCAATGGTAAATCGTTCTCCCGTCGTCATCCGATTTAAGTTTGTTCACCGTGGTTATAATTTATATTCGTTCGTCCATCGTCGTTCCTTTATCGTTGCTCATCGTATCGTTGGATATTTGTTGATCACGTAAGTTTATTATTGAGCTTGGTTCGATTAGTTGGGCGACTTCGTATTTGTAAGTTCAATAAGACATGTAAATCTAATTCTTCTCATCAATCGTTGATCATTCTTCCTCTGTCATTTTTAATTTATATTAATTTGCTTCTTTAATCGTTCGCCCGTCGTCGTTCAATCGAGTAGAATTTTCTTGAACCATTTTCGATCCTTTCTCGACCCGTTTCTTTTGAGGCATTTTATTTGGATCTTAGAAATTATAATTCAGCCCAAGTTTTCCTTGCATTTTATGCCCAAATGCCTTAGCAAAACCCAACCCTTTTTGTCTCCTAATAAACCGGCCATTTTGGGGATTTTAGAGCCTTGTGCATTTGTTCTTTTCAAATTCAAAGTCTAGGCTAATTTTGGATGTTTCAAATCAGCCTTGGTGAGCTCTTGTTGACCGAGATTTTTTAAGGCTCTTGATGAGAAATTATAGCCTCTAATTATGGTATAATCTTGCACCTTAATTCTCTCATTAGTTATGGAGATCAACCACATTTCTTTTTTTTTTCCCTTTTATGCACACGGTTTTTTTTCCTCTCTTCCCCTTAGAAATTTTTGAAACTAAAACTCTCCTTCCTCCACAAATCTGAAGCAAAACCTCTCGAAATCCATAAAAAACCCGCCTCCTCATATATCGATAGAAAATTCTCAAAAAATCATCACAAGGAATCAGCCTCCTTCATCTTTTCTCAACACAAGAAATTCAAATACAAAAGAATCACTTTCAAGTTCCGATCACGCTAGTCGAACCATCAGTCCGAACCTGCCAATGACCGCCCTCATATCGAAACTCCTCTGCACGCGAACCCCAGCCTGCGAACTGTCAGCAAACCATCGCTGAGATCCACCACGTACAACCAGGACGAACCGAGAATGCCGTCGAGGCCACGCATCAGCAGCCGAGACCCACCGCCACCGTGATGTCCCGTCGGGCTTCATACCGTACACTCGCCGTTTAGTTTGCCCCCAACCGATTGTACCAATTCGGGTCAATTCCAGCCGATTGTCGCTCCCGGTTTAAGAGTCCTAAACATTGCACCTTAACCGAACCAGTCCGGCCTAGCCATCAAACCCCTGTCCGCATTCGAGCGATGAGCAACCTTCACCGCAGTCGTCAAATAGTATACCGTTTTCGTCGTCACTCTCAAATAGAGTCGTAGAGCCCTGGCCCCGACATCCTGCCGATGCCCCTTCTTCGCACATCACTGAGACCCCGCAGACCCTTCTCGCTGGTGTTGAGTCACAACTGGCGACGAGATCGCACGGGAACCGTCGCCATCATCTCCACGCAGCAACATCCTCCGACCACCGCGAGCAGCCGAGCGCAAGAGGCTGCCGCTGCTCAGCATCGTCGCCCGTTACCGAAGACGACACCACGCTCGCACCATCACGATCTGAAGAGGAGCCTCAGTCCGTGGCTTGTTCGTGTTCGATCCCTGCTCGAGTTCCGCCGTCAACGCCCCAAACCATCTGTAACGCCCCACTTTATTTTGAAAGATTTATCGAATTTATTTAATAGAAACCACAATAAATTTTTATTTTACAAACATTAATGTAATTAAAAACTCAGTGGGCGCTACTCAACCTACCAAAAGCTTTTATCCAAAAATGCTAACACAACAAATAAATGCAGCATGCACGAATAATAAACCATAAACCAATCTAGCATTCATTAGGTTCCAATTCATAAAAGATAATTCATAATTCCATGTTCCGAAATGACATAACCACAATATCCAAATTCTGAGTTCATGAACTAAGCGGAAGCAAGGTTAATAAAGCAATAATAAATAATATAACCACCACTCGTCATCTCGTCTCGTCACCCGCCAGCTGCTTAACCTGCATCCGTGAAGAGCAGGTGGGAGTGAGTACAGTTAAATATCGTACTCACACTATGCATATGAATAACATAACAATGGTATGGTCGCAGCATGAACATAAACAATGATCACAACATGTCTCATCTCCTAATCAAAATCACACCATTTAACCTACTCATGTGCACATCTATCGCTAGCCGCAGAACGGGGATTCATTACCCGAAGGCGGGAGTACGTGCCACTGTAACGGACACGGCCTTCCATATGGGCTTACGTACCTCACAAGGGCACGGCCATATCAGGACTTAAAGGAGATTGCCACACAAGGGCACCGTACCGTAACTCGACGGGGACAACTGTACCGACGGCCGTAACAGCTCACATCGATAGGCAACATGTTCATTTTCATACATAGATCACACCAAATTTGCAACATGATTAAAATCAAACATGTGCATAGATAATTTTTGAATAACAACCCACCTGGATTTGGACTGATGACAGTAATTCAGAATAGTCGTAGGTTGAGGCCTGACTCCTCAAACACCTACATTATGTCAAGATCCTACAATCAATATCGTGACTAAATCGGAAAACACAAAACAGACCTAGTCGAACTTGTTTCGACTAAGTAGTTCGTGAAGTCCTGTGGATGTTGGAACACTAAGACTCGGCACTAAACTCGACCAAACCACATATGGGAGTTCACATAAATCCATCTAAGGATTGACCAAGTCAAACTCACATCAAAACGAAAAGCAAGTCGATTCCCAACTTTCATAAAAATCATGTTCGGAAATAGAAATCATTTAATCGCATGAAAATAGATGGTCAAGCTACCCTACGAATTAAGCTCTGAAAATTTACCCAAAATTTCATCTCCGAGAAACATGTAAAATCACAAAGTTTCAGCTTTAAACTCGAAATATCCTATTTTATAAAATTCGAACAGTAATTCAGCAAAAAGGGCACATTAATCCATACTCAGACTTAATGAATGAATCTGAACCTGAAAATTTTACACAACAACATTCAGTATGTCAAAGCTCACTTATAAAAATTCCAGCTTTAAATGATAACTGCTGCTATTTTTAAAAATTCAAACGAGCAACAGCAGTTTATCGAATTTAAATTCAAACTGAATCAAAACAGACACTAAAAATTCCCATATTTCACAAAAATGATCAAACACCTAAAATATGACTCTCAGCAAAATTTCAGAATTTTTCATGCAGTAACCGATTTTTAAAAATTCAAACAACATTTCTGCCGAATCAATAAATAAAATATTATCCATATCAAATCAACTCCAAAAATTCCAAAAATTTAACACAACACGTATAAGTGACAGAGGCACGACATATTCGAATTTCAGCTCATTTCAGTCAAGCATGAATTTATTATGCATTTAACAATATTCTGGACAGAATACAAATTAATTATTAAAAATAGCTACAGGTCTCGAAAAATTATGAACATTTTACACAAGGCAGGAAATGAACAGATAACACATCCCTCAAAATTTCACATCGTTTCAAGAAGCGAGCTATTTTTAAAAATTCAAACACCAAAACAGCGACATATATGCTCGACAATTTAACAATTAATTCATAACACGAAATTTCTCGTCCGAGGCCTTCCCATAAGGCCAAGGACTCGACTTTGTTCCAATATCCACTGACTTACACGAGTTTCGAGGCCTCGTTCGATTTCTCATAATCGAAGAGATCCCGAACATATATACGATTACACATAAAATCATCTCTTTCACATAAATTCATGTCGAACCCATTAATCGCAACATATTCACATCTCGTAAATCAAATCGCAAGGGCACATCACGTCATTTAAAACACGATAAGCAATTAACATATAAACGATTTAAACGAGACGGGATCGACTAGGTACCGTTCTCGGGAAAACTCGGAAAACGGAAACGAAAAAGACGAACGGGGATGAAGGGCTCGACGGATTCTCGCGTCTCGCCGGGAAAGAAGGTGCAGCAGCGGCTATTCTCGACTGCTCGGTTGCTGCGGCGCTCGATGCTTGAGACGAGGAGCAGCTCGCGGCGGCACAAAGCGGCGGCACGGGCTCAACGGCTGGCTCGCGGAAGAGGAGCAGGCTTGACGCGGCCGTAGGGCCTCGTTGGTCGTCGGCAGAGGGGCAGCAGGGTCGCCGGAGGGGAAGTCTCGTCGGCTTGCAAGCAGAGGGCTGCAGCGATGGAGGGCTTGCAGGCGCCGGTCGTGGAGGACTCGCCGGAGGGAGGGCCTGCGCGAACAGAGCAGCAGCGATGGGGGCTCGCAAAGGAGTTACAGGCGCTCGTCGGAGGAGAGCTGGCGGCGACGCGATGGTGTTGATGATGATGGGTGATCGGATCACAAGGGGAAAGAGGGATAGTGACGGGATTTCGCGACAGACGAAGCGAAGAGGATGAACAGAAAAAAAAAACGAGGGATTTGTCTTCTCTGTACGCGATCGAATTTTGACGAGGAAGGAAGTGACTGCGGGCTTAGGTTCCTTCTACCGAGCGTGAGAGTTAGACAAATAATAGATTAGGGTTAGGAATATTTCTCTTCAAGATAACACAACTCACGCGTGAAAGAAAAAAGAGGAGAAAATCTGTCGGGCCGGGCCCGAGAAGTTGGGTCAAATGGATTTTTGGGCCGGTTGGGACATTAAATCGGCTCACGGGCTCGATTAAAAATTTAAACGGACATTTTTCGGGCCCAATTTCGGTTCCAACGAAAATCCTCGGGCTCGATTTCGAATGCAAACACGCGATAAAATAATCCGAACAATATATATATTTATATTCTCATATTTTTAATTACACATTAATAATCACAAAAATTCAATTAAACAATTACACATTTAGCATTTAATCACATTTGACAATTATTAAATATTATGGCATTCAAGAAAAATAAATATAAATATTATCACAGAAATAACAATAATAATAATAATAATATATCCCAAATAATCCACAAATAAACGGGGCATTACAGTCTACCCACCTTACAAAGAATTCCGTCCTCGGAATTCGAACAACAAACTACGACGAGAATCTAACGAGAAACAAGAGGAGACAACATCAGCACATGAAATCCAGGTGCTTCCTCAGAATTTCGGTCTCCCTCTCCCAAGTCGCCTAGCCTTGACAACCCTCCCACTGGACGAGTACCCCTCCCAGCCTTATCCTAATGGACCCTCTGATCCAATAGGTCACCGGTACCCCCATACAGGTAGGGTTATGCCTATCACGCAGCTCGTCACATCTCACATATACTCCGAGATCACGCACACGTTTCCTCCATCAAGAGGCACAGAACGTGTCATGCATCCTCGCGAGTTCCGGTGGTAGAGTCAACCATCAGGCTAAGTCATCGACTTGGTCTGGAATCAAAAATAGGACTGAGTATGCGTGGCAGTAACCAGAACAACGGCATACTCCACCTATATCCGTACCAGCCACCTCACATGGCACCATTAGGGTTGTCGCTAGATAGCCATCGTTACCAGCGTACCTCCCCATGGTAAGGTATTTTCACACTCTACTCCTCTATCAATACACAAGACCCTAACCGGTCCTTACGTGTCTCGATAGCATACTCCAACAGAATCAACATATAGGGTTGACTTGTTGTATCGAGCTTCCATCTCGTGCCCGGGTCACGGTAGAAAACTCGATTACTACAACGACATGATCTGTGCGTCCTTATAAAACAGACCACCACAGAAAATCCCATACGGATGGGCTAACAATCCACAATAACACTATATCCTCAACACCGATACCTACAAAACACACGGCTCTGTTTGATACCGTTGTCAATAACTCTTCCTTTGCCGACTCGAATAACAACTCGAATGCGGTTTAGGAAATATCGACTAGATGTTCGAAAACAATCTCCTATCGCAGAACCGGTCTCACGATTAGGGATGCTCGATATTCCCATACTAACGATCTAACACCAATACTCTCTCACTCTTCGTAGGTTTCGGTCCCTACGAAGTATACATAGTCTCCAATCGAGGCTCGAGACACTGCCCGAAAACGATGAGGGACCGAATTCTCGCTATCACGAGAGAATTTCGCACAAGACAAATGAAAACTAATCGACAAGTCTCACATATCGAGAGTCGTTGATTAGGGATTTCATACAACGGTTCGGTTTGGAGTTTATGGCACTGTCACCCGAGAGATGACACACACACAGGCGCTGCATAAGCGGGGCGCCAGGACGTGTGCATGCACCTGTTCAGAGACCAGCTGCAAGATCAAGGTTTGGCCGTACACACTGCCTGGGGAGTTCCTGCGTTCGGTGATGGCGGCGGCAGCTCTCGTGCGAGTCAACGGTCGGCCACTGCAGTTGGCCTCACGTCTCTCAGCACGGGCGTGCGGGCTGGGCCACCACTTCGCGTGGCTACACCCATCCAGGTTCGGCGTTCAGTTTAAGGTACACTCCAGAAATTTTAAATTTCCGGGTCCATAGATTCCTAGATACTCAGATAGGAAAAAGGCTTCCTTACAAGACTTTCCCAACCACAACAATTTAAGCCACACTATTGAGCTACAATTTCCCATAGA